GTCTACAATCTTGTCTCTGACATCCTTGGAGAGCTCTTTGGTCTTGGCCATGGTGGAGAGTTTGGAATCTGATTGATTGATTGCTTCTGTGGACAGGTGTCTTTTATACAGGTAACGAGCTGAGATTAGGAGCACACTCTTAAAGGGAGTGCTCCTAATCTCAGCTTGTTACCTGTATAAAAGACACCTGGGAGCCAGAAATCTTTCTGATTGAGAGGGGGTCAAATACTTATTTCCCTCATTAAAATGCAAATAAATTCATAACATTTTTGACATGCGTTTTTCTGGATTTTGTTGTTGTTATTCTGTCTCTCGCTGTTCAAATAAACCTACCATTAAAATTATAGACTGATCATTTCTTTGTCAGTGGGCAAACGCACAAAATCAGCAGGGGATCAAATACTTTTTTTCCTCACTGTATATATCGTCAGGGTTAAGAATAGGGTTGGAGATGGGTGGGGTTAGAGGTGTAGTTGGGGTTATGGGGTGGGGCTAGGGTTGGCCTGTTTTGTTGGTGTTAGGGTCAGGGTTATTGTGAAAGTTGTTGTTAGACACGAGTATTAGGGTGAGGGAGAGGGTTTTGGCTATAGGGTTAAGGTTCCAGTTGGAGTAGGGTTTGAGTTTTGGTTAAAGATAGGGTTAGGATTATGGTTGTATGTTGAACTTATTTCGTACCATACATGACCAACCGTGCTAATTGGAGGTGCTGGGGTTCGGGATAAGGTTGGAGTTGTGGTTCAGAGAGCAAAGCGAATCTCGTGGTCGGGGTTAGCCACTTAGATGCGGGTTGGAGTATCGGCCAGGATCAGGATGATGATAAGTGATCGTCTTAAGAGTTATGGTTCAGGATTAGGGTTGGAGACGGTAATGGGGTTTGGGGGTTAGGGTTACGATTAAGGGTTAGGGTTAAGGATTATGGTCTAGGAAAGGGTTAGTCACATGCTCTTGAAGCATTGAGTCTTTGTACCGAATTAAAATAAAAGCCTCTTTCTTGTTCATCTCGTTGCCGACCCCTGGTCTGGGACTAGGGTGGGGATGAGGTCACCACGGTTGAATTTCCCACTCAATAATCTGCGGGTCGCCGGTGTAGACTGGAGTAGGTGGGCAGGTGACTCGAGTCACGGCCACAGTCATAGCGAGATGTGGGCCTACTGGATGTGGTGTGCCGGGCGTGGAAAATATTTTCTGAATCTCTGACCCAGACAGAGGCGGCTTGGATGAAACCCTGCTTGGAGTCATAATCTTTGTCTCCGTTCATCTCGTTTGTATTGTCCATCTCATTTGTTTTGTCCGACTCGTTTGTATTGTCCGTCTCATTTGTATTGTCCATCTTATTTGTATTGTCTGACTCGTTTGTATTGTCTGTCTGGTTTGTATTGTCTATCTTATTTGTATTGTATGACTCGTTTGTATTGTCTGTCTGGTTTGTATTGTCTATCTTATTTCCATCGTCTCATTTGTATTATCTACCTCGCTTCTATTGTGAGTCTCGTTTGTGCCTCACTTGCATTGTCCCACTGGCAGTGTTCGTCTCGCTTGCTCCAGCTCGCTCTCGCGCGCTTCCCCAGCCACCGGGACGAGACAAGGGCCGCCAGCAACGAGCAACACGCAACGTTCACGGATCGCAAACAACAGATTGGTGTGATCGGAGCGCGGCTGCGTGGCCAAGGTTTTCATATCGCCTCCTTCGAATTGCCATTTGTCTTCATGAGGGTTCAAGGCGAACACGACAGCCATCGGCCAACTCCCATCATAACAACAGCTGTGAGATGAACACAATGACCCAAAAACTGGCTCTGCCGGTGGGGCGGAGAGACGGGGGCAGGCGGTTTACAAGTTTACGTCCCGTTCGGGAAAAGCCCGGCGAGCTAAAAAGCTCTTTCTCAAGAGCGACTGGGCCGGCAGCATTACGCAACGCCGTCACATCAAAGCGTTAACCGATTGTTGTAATATTCGGAAGAGGGCCATGAATAACATTTGTATTTTGTCCCCCTACCTCGCCCCTTCCCCCCTCCACGGAGTGAGAATCCTACGGGGGTCAAAATACAATCTCACACCTCCTCTAATAGCTAACAGCACCCACGTGCCCCGCGCAGGGCAATCGCTCTATGCGTGTGTGTTCTGTTTCACTCTAGGGGAGCGGAGGCGCAGCGATTAGCGCAGTGCGCAGCCAGCAACACCAGATACCATTATAATGAACCGGTCGTGTGCCTACACCTAGATCGACTCATCCTAACATGAGCTACCGTGGCCACTAGGTAGAGGCGGGGGTGGCCCGGCGTGCTTGGTGCTGGCCACCCCCTTTGTGTACCGTCCCGACCTTCGCAGGTGCTCCTCGCTAACAGCACTTGCCCCAATCCTCGGCTGTAAAACTATACGGGGGATCTTTATCTTTGTTTGTCTTTGTGTTTTCACACCGGGCGATCGCTCGGAGCCCCGGGGCTGCTTCGCGCGCTCAATACCGGCGTGGTGATGGAGGGGGCGGCGATTATGATGATGGTGGTGGTGGTGATGATGGTGGTGGTGGTGATGGTGGTGGTGGTGATGATGATGGTGGTGGTGGTGATGGTGGTGATGATGGTGGTGGTGGTGATGATGGTGATGATGGTGGTGGTGGTGATGATGGTGGTGGTGGTGGTGATGATGATGATGGTGGTGGTGATGGTGGTGGTGGTGATGATGATGATGATGGTGGTGATGATGGTGGTGGTGATGATGATGATGGTGGTGATGATGGTGGTGGTGGTGGTGATGATGATGATTATGGTGGTGGTGGTGATGGTGGTCGTGGTGATCGAGGGGGAAGCTTAGTGGGTGGGTGTCATCGCTGTTTGCTTTGGTGACGAGTGGCGTGTGACGAGTGGCGTGTGGCGAGGCGTGGGAGGTGACGATGTTACACGCAGAGCGATCATGCCAGTGAGTGTTTTATGATGATGATGCGAATGTGTGTGACGATGACAATGTGTGTGTGTGTGTGATAAATCTCGTGATGATGATGTGATGATGTGATGTGTGTCATGTAGGTGAATTCTTAACAGCACTTGCCCCAGTAGCCTGTTTAAGGCTATGCAGGTCGATGTGCGTGTCACTGGGATGTGTGTGTATCGAAATTGTCATCATGATCGTGAGTGTTTTATGATGATGCAGATGTGTGATCATTATCGTGCACGTTGATGGATCTTCTGATGACCATGATGACAGCGATAATTAATTAGTGTCTTATGATGATTGATGCCTTGACCTCTCATAAGGTCACCTCGAGCCGACTCACACGAGGTCGACTCAACCACCAACAGACACCGCAGTATAGCAATTAAACTGCAACTTGAATCACTACCTATGAGATCTTCACTCAAAACTGCTCTAGAGGAGTTGTACACCCCTAGCTGCCACTGCTACTCAGTGGCCTAAAATATGGCTCTAGGGCTTGGTGTTATAATTTATGTATGTAGTTTATTGTTAAAAATTCGGTCACAGTCCCTATGATCACTGTTACATTGCATTTATGGCTTTTATTTTGGTGATTTCGAAAAGTTTTTTTGGTTTGGCCATGTTTTTGTTTGTTGTAGTACGGAGTTAGACTGATGGCCTTAATCTTAGTTGTCTTGTGGTTGTTGTTGTTGTTGTTTGACTTGCATCCCACTGGGATTTTTGCACACAGCGTTGGTGTACGGTGCTATTTCAGGAATATTTTGATGGGTTTTTTTCCTGGATTTTCTGTTTGGACAATCACATAGTCACTTTAAGATGTTTTCTTGTTCATGTTTTTGTTTTTTGTTTGTTGCGGTTGCACCCGATTCAAGAGCCGAATGGCTCACAGGGCTATACCAAATAAATGGAACTATGGAACTAATTAATACAGACAGATGGACACACGACACACACACATAAAGGTCCTTCGTATAGTCTGAACAGACTGTTGGGGCAAGTGCTGTTAGCGAGCAACTATGAAGACCGGCATGGCACACGAGGGGGTGGGTGGCTAGCACCCTCGTGTTTAAACATCGCATCAGGTTCGTATTTGAGGTCGAGTCGACCTAGGGGAGGCCCAGGACCGGCTCAAATATTCGCCACTGTTATTGGTCGAGGACAGGAATCGATCCCGGGTTGTCGGATTCATAGTGCGGCGTGCCAACCACTACACTACCGCTCCCCCGACACACACAGACAGACAACAACCGCCATTCGCCACTAAGTGGCGGTGACGTCACCACGACGCTTGTGCCAGGCCATGTGCACCTTGAGGCCACGTGAAGTGTCGATGGACACACACAGACACACACAGACACATACAGACAGACACACACAGATACAGACACACACAGACAGACATACAGACAGACACACACAGACAGACAGACACACAGAGAGACATACATACAGACAGACACAGACAGACACACACAGACAGACACAGACAGACAAACACAGACAGACACACACAGACACACACAGACAGACACACACAGACGGACACACACACAGACACACAGACAGACAGACACACACACAGACACACAGACAGACAGACAGACACACACAGACAGACAGACAGACACACACACAGACAGACAGACAGACACACACACAGACAGACACACACACAGACAGACACACACAGACACAGACAGACACACACAGACAGACACACGACAGACACACACAGACAGACACACACAGACAGACACAGACAGACACACACAGACAGACACAGACAGACAGACACACACACAGACAGACACACGACAGACACACACAGACAGACACACAGACAGACACACACAGACAGACACACACAGACACACACAGACAGACACAGACACACAGACACAGACAGACACACACAGACAGACACAGACACACGACAGACACACACAGACACACACAGACAGACAGACAGACACACACAGACAGACAGACACACGACAGACACACACAGACACACACAGACAGACACACACAGACAGACACACACAACACGGGGACACGCGCGTCGTCACCTGAGCCGCACTTGCCATTGGCTCCGGAGAGCTCGGCGGTTCGGGTTGGACCCCACACTCGGGAGATCCCGGGAGGCCCTGAGTCTCCACGCCGCTGTCCCGGTTCGAGTCCTTGTCCCGGTTCGAGTCCCCGTCCGCGTTCATCTCGGGGTCCGGCGCTCTGCCCCCAGGCCATGAACCCAGCAGCGACCGCAGCGAGGAGGCGGAGGGCGAGGAGGACGGGAGGGACGGCGACAGCAGGGAGTCGAACTCTTCAGCTCCGCACTCGCCGGTCACGCTCGCGCCGTCCTCCCTGCTGAACGGGCGCCGCTCATCGTCATCGTCACCACCACCACCACCGCCGCTCCCGTCACCCCCGTCAACGCCGTCCACGCCGTCAACGCCGCCATCGTCACCCGCGGCCCCGCCACGCTGCCCGCACAGCAGCCGGCTGCCCGCGGCGCCGCGCCACGCTGCCCTCCCGTCCGGCGCGTGCTGGGCCTGCTGGGCCTGCTGGGCCTGCTGGGCCTGCTGGGCCTGCTGGGGCTGCTCCGGCCCGCGCAGGCAGTGGCACCACCATCGCCGCCTGTGGCCAACAGCGCCTGCGGAGCGTGCGTCCTTCATGCCCCGTCGAGGTTGACTTTAAAAATGAAGGTATAATAATAATGATGGTGATGATGATGGTGATGATGATCTCCGAGTGGTCCCGGGCTTCCCCGGCTCCTTCACCAAGCCCTCTGCACCTCGTGCCAAAGGCGGCCGCTGCGTGGAGCGTTCACTCCAAGGGCAGCGGCTGCCCCCTTTCCCAATAAATTACTCCCGGCGCTTCCCCGTCTCGTGCAGGTGAGAACCACGCTCCAGCACCCGCAAACCCCCTTCCCCCACCCCCTTCCCCCACCCACCGCCTCCCCCACCACCCCCCAGCCTCGCACGCGTGGCCGCGAAATTTGTAGTCCCGGGTTCGACTCCCGAGCCGAGCGGCGTCCCGCCGCCGCCGCCCGCGAGCGGAGCGCGGACAGCACCCGGCCCCCCCGCACACGGGGGAGGGGGGGGGGGTGAAGAGGCGCGCCGGCTCGGAACGCGGTCCGCTCCCCCCTCGCCGTTACCGTCGACCCCAGCCAGCCACGCCGCTCCCGTCACAACGACGCTCGACCGTCGTCGCCGCGGCTCCTGCCGCTGCTGCCGCTGCTGCCGCTGTGGGCGCGTACCGGGCGCCTCTATAAACAGGGGCCCGTGGCCGCGTGCCCGGACGGACCCGGACCTCACGAATACAGTAGCGCACACGGCAAATACAGCACCACCCCCACCGCCCGCACCGGCTCCTTTCTCTCTCTCTCTGTGCGTGCGTGTAACGTGAGATCAGCCTGTCGCACGCACGCGCCCAGCCCCGCGGGTCTGACCCCCCCCCTTCCCCTGCCTCCCCCGCGCTCACTCACCTGGGCGGACAGGTGAGGGCAGTGACCGTGAGTGGAGGATCGCCCCTCCTCCAACCCCCATGTCCTCCCCCCCACGCCACAAACCCCTCCCCACCCGCCACGTGCTCGAGGCACGGCCAATTTTTTTTTTTTACAAAATCACGATCGTGCAGAGCAGAGGTCGAATGGCCCAAGACGCCAAACGGCCAGCAACAGGCAGCACGATTGAATTAATCGTGGGTGTCATGACCGGTGTCGTGGCCAAAGGGCCGTCCATAAATGACGTCACGCGATTTTGGACGATTTTTGACCCCCCCCTCCATCGTCACATGGCGTCACAAAAAGTCAGACCCCCCCTCAAATATGACGTCACAAAGCTCTGAACCCCCCCCCCCCCAAAAAAAAACATGCTTTAAATCGCTTTAAACTATTGTCATTGTAGTGCGTATTTAATGTGGCGATGCACTCTGATGTTGTAGGGGAAAACATTTATATAAAAAAGTATATTTAATTAAGTAGAACGTGCCGTCTATATTTATTTAAAGTTGCACATTTTGATGTAACGTCACATTTCTCAAACCCCCCCCTCATCCACACATCGTCACAAATGTCTGACCCCCCCCCCCCCAGGTGCGTGACGTCATTTAGGGACGGCCCCTAAGTGGCACCCTAGCTGTCATGCCCCCATTTAGGGGCTCTGCTGCCGGTGTCGTCCAATCAAGAGGGAGGGGGGGTAGCCAGCACCACGCCCAGCCACTCAGTGGCGGTGACGCCTTAGCACAGCACTCGTGCCAGGCTAGGTGCACTTTGAGGTTACCTCGTGAAGTGAGGAACGCTTGCTGCTGGCAAGAGGTTATGTATGGGATGTTGCGGGTGGAGACGACTGACAGATGGACGCACACACGGACAAACTCGCACAGCCCAAAAGACTCGCCACTTCTCACGTGACGTGTCTCACGTGACGTGTCTCACGTGAATCTGGGACATTCCTCGAGTCGCCGTTTCTTGAGTCGAGAAAGGTTTTTTTTTTTATCGTGAGAACTTGGGAGGGAAAAAAAAACGAGGACGGGAGGAGGGAATTCCAGAGTAGCGCGGTGCGAAGGGAAGAAGCGGTAAGGGAAGTGAGGTGACCTGCAGTGCGGTGGGAGTGGGTGGATGATTGGGTGAGTGAGGGAGCGTTGTTCTGACCTGCAGTGCGGTGAGTGGCTGAGTGAGTGAGTGCGTCAGTGGGCGAGACGGTGAATTCGGGAATTCGGCGTGCTGTTGCGACCTGAAGCGTGACGAGTGAGTGGGTGAGCGGGTGGCTGAGTGAGCGCTAAACAAGCCCAGTGCGCTACGTCGATCACAGTGGCTCGCAGCAGACCTCACACACGCAACACTAATTCAGCGCCGCTGTGGAGGACTACGCTTGCAACGCCTCCAGCACAGATCTGGCCATCAGCGTAATAAACATGAACACGCAGTGGATTTTTACGCGACCCACGAGGAGCACGGCCTTCTCTGAGTGCGTCGTTTACGCAGCAACTGTAATCCAACACACGGAGCCAAGCTCGCTGGAACCACTGGCGGAGCCAGTGGGGGTGGCACGTGCCCCCCAATGATCCGATCGAAATCCCTAATTTCGATCGGATCAATGGAGTTCATTAGTAATAAATCGGCATTTTAGCGACCCCCACTGCCACTATGTAGCATATTATTATGTGCCAGGGACTCTATGAAATGGTAGGACAATAGTCCATAATTTGCAATAAGTAACGGAAAAGCAGTTATAAGTGACTCATAGAATTGTGCGCAGTTGCGTATACAACTGTACACGACTTCCCTGAAGGCAAACACCTTCAGTGAGCGCGATGCCGATCACACAACGCGGTTCGAATTCGACCCTCAATCGATGGCTGTGCCATCGACGCACACGCGTTGAATAAAAAGTAAGGGACAAGTCCTTACTTACTAACAACTCCTTACTTACTAACAAGTCCTTACTTACTGACAACTCCTTACTAACAACTCCTTACTTACTAACAAGTCCTTACTAACAACTCCTTACTAACAAGTCCTTACTTACTAACAACTCCTTACTAACAAGTCCTTACTTACTAACAACTCCTTACTAACAAGTCCTTACTTACTAACAAGTCCTTACTTACTAACAACTCCTTGCTTACTAACAACTCCTTACTAACAACTCCTTACTAACAAGTCCTTACTTACTAACAACTCCTCTATCATTTTTCATTGCTGGAGGGGATGCCCCCCTACCTGAAAATCCTGTCTCCGCCATTGGCTGGAACCACTGCTGGTGAGCTGCCAGAAGTTCATAGGCGAAGACTCTCGATGAAGATACGGGGTCCAAGTTCGACACACAATTAAATAATGCCACATAATTTATTACCATGATGATGATGAGACACTGAATGTTGAAACCGATCCAGAGTTTGCTCTCATTGAATCAACGTTGCTAACATTGCACAATCCCAGTAGGCCTTGCGTCTCACGGCATGCATATTTGATGATTACGGCGACTGGGGCTGATGATTATGACGATGATGAGTACAACAATGATGATTACTACGATAGATGATCACGATGATGATTACTACGATAGATGATCACGATGATGTCCCAACTACGATAGATGATCACGATGATGATTACTATGATAGATGATCACGATGATGTCCCAACTACGATAGATGATCACGATGATGATTACTACGATAGATGATCACGATGATGTCCCAACTACGATAGATGATCACGATGATGTTCCAACTACCGGGGGGCACCGGCTAGCTCAGCAGCCGGGGAGTGGCGGGGGGGGGGGGTCTCACCTATCAGGGGCGTCTTTCGCGCGGGGGTTCTCTGCGGGGATCCCACCGTGCACCTCCTCGGCTTCCGCCTGCTCAGGGATTCCGGCCGGACGGGTCCACAGCCAGCTGAACTTGTTAGGGGCAGCCGCGGCCTCCGTGGGCCGTGCGGCGCCATCCTCCGGCGCGGTCGCCGGGCCCGGCGTCGCCGTCGCTCGAGTCTTGGGGATCAGGACGTCCGGCTTGCCCGCCGGGCCGGGCTCCGGCGTGGCCTGTGTCGGGGTCGGGGGAGGGACCCCTCTGCCTGCTGCGAGAGCCCTGGGGGTCTCGGCAATGTTCGGCCTAAACATCTTGGGCGTCTCGATCTTTCCCGGAGCTGTGGGCGACAGGACGTCTGTCTTGCTCGGTCTAAACGCTTTAGGAGTCTCAATCTTTCCGGGTTCTAAGCCACTCGTGGTCTCAGCTTTACCTGGTCCGAATACTTTGGGCAACTCAATCTTACCCGGACCTGGGTCGCCAGAGGTCGCATTCTTGCATGGTTCAAATACCTTGGGCAACTCAATCTTTCCTGGCTCTTTGTCACTAGGGGTCTCAATGTGGCCAGGTCTGAACACGTGCGGAGTCTCAATCTCCACTGGCTTTGGGTCTCTTGAGGTCTCAGACTTGTTCAGTTCAAAAACCTTGGGCAACTCAATCTTTCCTGGTCCTGAGTCCCTTGGGGTCTTATTCTTGCCCACCTGAAAGACTTTGGGCAACTCAACCTTACCGGGACCTGGCTCTCTGGAGGTCTCAGTCTTGCCCGGCTCAAAAACCTTGGGCAACTCAATCTTGGCCCGCGAGATCTCAGTCTTGTCTGGCTTGGGGGCCCTGGGAGTCACGGCCTTTTGCAGGCCGGGTGAGCCAGGCCCGCCGGCGCCGCCGGCCGGGTCCTTGCCGAGACTGGCGGCGGGCTTGGGTTTGAGCGGCGTGCGTGGAGCAAGGGCGCTCATCTCAGAGTCCGCGTGGCGCGGAGTGCCCGTGGTCTTCAGGCCTAGCGCCACATTCCCGCCGGCGACCGTACCGCGCGGCGAGGGCCTCGCGACCGTGGGCCGAGTCTCCTCCGTGGGGGCCCTGGAGTGCTGGGCTGGCGGCTGGGGTCCCCGTAACACCAGGAACCTGTGATCCGTGGTGGCGGCGGCGACGTGTGGCCACAAACTGGACGCGGGTGATGGGCTGAGTCCGTTAGGTCTAACCGACGGGGTCGAAGGGGTCGAAGGGGTCTTGGGGTACCGTAGCTCCACGGGCTTCAGGTTGTTCGCAGCAGAGAGGAGCGTGGGGGAGTGAACTACGGGGGTCGGGGTCGAGGTCGGGGTTCGGGTCGTGGTCAGCGGGGTGCGTGGACTCGGCGAACCCGTGGGCCTCACCGGAGCTGTGGAGAAAATCGACGTTCAAAATAAGCAATTAATTTGTACCATCCTTTGTCATTTGACCACTGGATTAAAATAGTTTTACTGGGGGTTATGAATAGAGGTCAATGTTACAATTCGTGTTGGCATTACGGAGGTCATGGTCTAGACTGAATGTTAAGGTTAAGGCTATAATTGGGGCTAGTCCTATGGCTAGGGTTAATGTTAGATCTAGGAGTCAGTGCTAAAGGCTCTGTTAGGGTTTGAGTTCCTACTATGTTTACGGTGTAAGCCCTGGGTTAGGTTTACGACGGGGCCTAGGGTTGTGATTTGAGCGAGGGTTGGGGCAAGTGCTTGGGTTGAGGCGAGGGCCACCGTTAGAGCTGGCGTGAGGCTGGGCCTAGGGGCCATGGCTTGGTTCGTGTCTCGGGGGCTAGGGCCGGGCTGAGGTTTATCGTTGCGAGTTCGATCTCGGGCAATTCTCAGGGATTGTTTTTTCTGGTGTTGACCATGGCGACGATTCGAACACGGGTCTCATGGGTCCGTAGCGCAGCGCGCTAACCGCTGCGCCACGGCTCCCCACAAAGACGAAGATCTCCTTGCACGTGTAGCCTTAACAGACTGTTCGGGCAAGTGCTGTTACCGAGTGGCACTTATGAAAGGCGGCACGGCACACGACGTGGGTGGGAGGCCAACAGCACACCCGGCCACCTTTGTCTCCCTCGTGGCGATGATTTACACACTGCACCAGGTCTTATTTGAAGCCGAGTTGACCTAGGGGAGGCCCAGGAGCGGTTCACAATCACCACTGGTGTTGACCGTTGGCACGATTCGACGAACTTGGGTCGCCTGATTCGTAGCGCAAGCGCAATAACCACAACCCGCAATAACCATGACCCGAACCCCGACCTCATCAACACACACACATGCTCTCATCAACACACACACACATGCTCTCATCAACACACACACACACATGCTCTCATCAACACACACACACATGCTCTCATCAACACATACACACACACATGCTCTCATCAACACACACGCACACGCTCATCGACACGCACATGCTCATCGATACACACACAGGCTCATCGACACACACACAGGCTCATCGACACACACACAGGCTCATCGACACACAAACGCCCATCGACACACACACGCACACGCTCATCAACACACACACACGCTCATCGACGCACAAACGCTCATCGACACACACACAGGCTCACCGACACACAAAAATGCTCATCGACACACACACAGGCTCATCGACACACACACGCACAGGCTCATCGACAAACGCTCATCAACACACACACAGGCTCATCGACACACACGCACATTGACACACACACAGGCTCATCGACACACACACAGGCTCATCGACACACACACACACACAGGCTCATCGACAAACGCTCATCGACACACACACAGGCTCATCGACACACACGCACATCGACACACACACAGGCTCATCGACACACAAACGCTCATCGACACACACACGCACAGGCTCATCGACACACACACAGGCTCATCGACACACAAACGCTTATCGACACACACGCACACGTTCATCGACACACACACAGGCTCATCGACACACAAACGCTTATCGACGCACACGTTCATCGACACACACACAGGCTCATCGACACACACACGCGCGCGCGCAACATGTACGACATTTGAACATGCACAGCAGCAGGGTTGAGGCAAGACCGCCCAGACGCTGTCAGTGCTGCCCAACACTGCCCCCTGGCGTCTCTCAGAAAGCCGTGAACAGAGAGACCCACGGTGACAATCTCAACGTGACAATCTCAACGTGACAATCTCAACGTGACAATCTCAATGTAACAATCTCAACGTGACAATCTCAACGTGACAATCTCAACGTAACAATCTCAACGTAACAATTTCAACGTAACAGATGTTAATCTGATGATGATGATTACACGAAGCGTGATTGAAAGATCCGTGGCCTGGCAGGAGGAGGAGTAATACCGCAGCGATGAGAGAGGCTGAGAGTTAGGGAGTGGGTCTAGGGTGGAGTCTATGGAGACTGGGTTGGAGTTATGGTTACGGTGATATTTAGATCTAGGGGTCAAGGCGATGGCTATGGGTTAAGGGTGTGGGTCAAGGCTAGGGGCTACGGGTTAAGACTAGGGCTGTGGGATTAAGGCTAAGGCTATGGCTTAATACAATGTGTCAAGGCTATGGTGATATGTCATTGGCTACCGGTCAAATTCCGAGTGTATTTTAAGATATTGCTATTAACCTATAAGGATTTCAAAGGGCTCACCCCACATTACTTTCAGGAACTAATACATTTATAAATCCATCAACGTCCTTAATATCTTCTGATCTACAACTGCTCAGCACTCCCAGAGTCTAGCTCGCGCTCTTTTGGCGATCGGGCTTTTGTCCGTGTGGCACCCATAAGCTATGGAACGCCTTGGCACTTGAAATCAGGCAGAGTCGGAAGATATATTGAAGTCTGCTTTGAAAACCCATCTCTGTAAACCGGCCTTCCCTCTCTAGTTTGATCGGTGGCCCTGGCTCTGTTTTTGTTTCCTGCTGTTCATGTATTGTGCATTGGGATCCTAGGATGGAATGCGCAATTATACATTTGAATTATTATTTGTTATTATTATTATTATGGGTCAAGGCTAGGGCTCAGTTTCGCGAAGAAACTCTTAGTTTGCATTTAGGGCCACGGGGCCCTGCTCCCGGCTCGCTGTCAACCGCTTCGCCTCCGTTCACAACATTCGGCACTTCTGAAACCCGTCGTGGCAAACCGAGAAGGGCGCCGGGGGGAGGAAGCGTTGCACGGCGCGTGCTGCCGTGCAGGGCCTGGTCCGTTAATCAGAGCCCAAGACCTCCACACGGAGGTAGCGCAGAACCTGCTGAACCGTGGAGACGCGGAGCACAGGGTCCACAGATGAGTCACGGGGTCGCGGGATCAACGCGGCTTGCGCAAGCGGCTTGTACATGCACACAAAGGCAAAGACTCCCCGTGTAGCCTCAACAGATTGTTGGGGCCGGCGGTGTTTGTGAGCACCTATGAAGGCCGGCACGGCACAAAAGGGGGTGAGTGGCCAGCATCACACCCGGCCGCCTTTGTCTCCCTAGTGGCAATGTTTTACACGTCGCAGCAGGTGTTCATTTGAGGCTGACCAAAGGGAGGCCCGAGATTGGTTTACCCAACCCCACCAGGCACTGTACTCATTTGAGGCACACAATCTCACGCACGCGTGTGGGTACAGTCGAGACGACACAGACAAAAGCGACGAAGACTTACAAAGGACTGTCCGGGGGCAAGTGTTGTTAGCGAGCACCTATTTAGGCGGTCACGGGGTGGTGCGGCCATTTGTGGCCATGCAAGCCAAAAAAATGGATCACACCGCAAACCACTGTGGTCTGTGCTCCTTCCATGGAGGAGAATGAGCAGCAAAACGACACCAACTCTCTCTCTCTCTGAAGCCCTCTCATCATGGCCAGCAGACATTGGCACTTAGCTCCTGAACATATTGCCATCAAATGCCAGAATAGAAACTCCTGGCCGCCATTGTCTCCCCGGTGCTGATGTTTACACTCCGAGATTAGTATTCAAGTATTTGGTTATGGCTGAGTTGACCTAGATGGGAGGCCCAGGACTGGTTCAGACGGCCACTCCGTCACCGGTGTTGGCCGTAGCCAGAGATTGAACCCAGGTCCATGGATTCACGTTGCAGTTTGCGAACCACTGCGTCACCGCTCTCGACACACGCTCTCACACACACCGGCATAAACAGGTCTAGAAACTCGAGTCGACCTAGAGGAGGCTCAGAAGCGGTTCAGATCATCGTCGCTGGTGTTAGTGGCTGTGCGTGGGAATCGAACTCAGGTCGCTGGGGTTCGTAGCATAGCTAAACACACACACAGTATCATTGGTCTTTGCCAAACATCCCAATGTAGCAGAACCTTCCTGCAAAAGGAGTCTTGGCACTCTGTGTGACTTTCTTGGCTAAATGAGTAATTATCAAATCCAGGCGTCCCTCGATTTATGAACGTTCGGTTTACGGAATTTCCCATTAACCCAATTGACAAATTCCGGACGCTTATCGATGAGCAAAATCGAATTTCCGCGTTAACCATAAGTCACTCCCGGCCACGCGCCGTGAAATCATCAAACACGAAGCCACGCGGGAGGTTGCGTCGTCATCCATCCACGACAGCGTCACGGTGTCCCTGCAGTGACGGCACCAACGCCTCCCTCGGCGGCACCACCTCTCACCCCTCCCCCCGTCATTACAACATGCAGCAGATATTTCGGTGAGTTTCCTGGAAAGGTTAATTAGCAGTAGAGTTGGAATGACTGTTCGAATCACAATCCCTCATATTTTAGTATTAAATTAGTGGGAAAAGCCATTCCCATGTACGACATTTCGTTTTAGGCACGGTCTTTTTGAAGAAACGCATCCCTTTGGTAAAATCGAGGAATCCCTGCAGAGCACACAAACACACACACAAAACCAACACCCCCCCCACGCCACCCGCACCGCTCCTCCCCTCACCTCGGAGGGGACGGGGTCCCCCTGGGGTCCCGCTGGGCCCCACGACGCTCGAGAACTTGAGGTGGGGTCCCAGGGCAGCGGAGTGATACGGACGCGGAGTCGGGTTCTGGGATCCGACTGTGAAAAAACAAACACACAACAACAAAAAGACAAAGATCCTCCGTGTAGCCTTAACAAACTGTAGGGGCAAGTGCTGTTAGCGAGCACCTATGAATGCCGGCACGGCCCACGAGGGGGTGGGTGGCCAACACCATGCCCGGCCACCTTTGTCTCCCAAGTGGCGATGTTAACACCGCACCAGTTACTCATTTGAGGCTGAGTCAACCTAGGGGAGGCCCAGGACGGATTCAGATAATCGTCACTGGTGCTGGCCGTGAGCGGGAATCGAATGTGAGTCATAGCGCAGCGCGCTAACCGCTACACTACCGCTCCCCCTACATCAAACACACACACACGAGGACATGTGTTTTTTTACACATCCCATCAGCCACGCCGTTTTCTTGGCGTGCATCCTTTCAGGAGGCACGACGATTCATGCGCGATTCAACGCAAACAAAACCCTGGACTGGTTTTGACATTCAGCGGCTCATCCGCAGGCTCGGCTTTGCTGGTGAAACTGCTCGATGTTTTTAGTCAAGCGCCCTCCCTGTTAGATATTGGTCCCAGCTCGACGCTAAACTATAAAATATACAGCACAAGACTATTATAGACTACTTGCCTTCACAATCGTTACACAATCATAAGCATCGTTATGGTTAAGTATAAGCAGCAATTACATGTATTAGATGTATGTATTGATACAGATGACAGTGAGAACATTTACAATGGGAAACTTGATTACTTGTTGTCTTTACAACCTAGAGTTTCTAGATGTATATTATTTAACGGTGTCCACGATTTAAAATAGATATTAGCAGAGGCAGCCGCTGCTGGTACCCGGGAGAAGTTGTGTGTGGTGGCACGGGGAGCGGTGTCGCAGCAGCTAGCGCATTGCGCTACAAAACACAGCTACCGGGGTTCGATTCCCGCTCACAGCCAACACCAGCGACGATTATATGAACTGGTGCTGTGCCTCAATAAGGTCAACTCAGCCTCAAATAAGTACTTGGTGCGGCGTCTAAACATCGCTACTGGGAAGACAAAGACGACCGTGCGTGATGGTGCTGGCCACCCACCCCCCCGTGTGACGTGCTAGCCTTCATAGGTGCTACTTGCGAACAGCGCTTGCCCTGAGAGTCTGTTTAGGCTTTACACGGGATCTCTGTTGTTGTTGGCACGAGCTATAAACACATGCGAGGCCATGTACGCCAGCACTGTTGCTCTTATATAAACATTTTTTTTTAACTATATAGGTGTAGCCCACTGAGCTATGGGGATCTTTTGCAGAAGCGACGTCACAAATGACAGCTCAACGGAGTGGCTTACCACGTGGAAATTTATAGCAGCCAAATATTCTAAACGCGTGACGTCGATTTTAAATGTGGAGGGGAAAAACCGGAGGACCCGGATAAAAATCCCCGCCACCACGCGGAGAGAGACACGCAAACTCAAAATATACAACAGGCATCGGGATCGAAACCACGACCTCCCGTGTTCCAGACAAGGTAGTTAAAATCTCACCACCGTAATGTTCTGTGATAGCGCGCGATGGCAGCGAGGTGGTACATGGATATAAATGCCAACCAATGTCGAGGTTTGCTGCTGGCCACGACGAGAGGCCTTCACGAGAGGGAGGAAGAACGGGAGTTATTTGTGTAGTTGCGCTATTCCTCCTCCTCCTCCTCCGTTGAGGGGGCGTTGGCTACAGGAGAATTACCACCGCCGGCCACCAACACACACACATTTCACCAAACCTGTATATCACACCGCGTGTCAGGAATGTGGACAAGCTCTACGCAGCTTGCGGGCCAAGATGCCAATGGGACCATAGCCCCCCGCCTCCCTCCCACCGTGCATTTCACATCGTCTGCGGTGCGAGCGTCGCGCTCTCCGTCCACGGCTGAACGCGGTGACCGTGAACTCTGTCCACTTCGTCGTCCACGCCACCACCCTGTGACGAGGTGACCGCGACAGCTGCCGTGAGGACGGTGGCCTCGTGTGCAGGGGCCGCGTCGCCATCACGGGCCGACACGCGGGCCGACACGTGGGCCGAAGGAAGCGTCGTTGAGACCAATACCTCCAGAAAACAAATCGGCACTGATAAGGCCTCGAGGCCTCGGCGACCCGCCCCTACCGGCCCAGCCAGGTTCAACTTTGACCCGACAGCGTTGTTGCACGTCCACTTGGTAGCCTTCACGTCCACTTGGTAGCCCTCACGTCCACTTGGTAGCCCACTTGGTAGCCCTCACGTCCACTTGGTAGTCCTCACGTCCACTTGGTAGCCCTCACGTCCACTCGGTAGCCCTCACGTCTACTTGGTAGCCCTCACGTCCACTTGGTAGCCCTCACGTCCACTTGGTAGTCCTCACGTCCACTTGGTAGCCCTCACGTCCACTTGGTAGTCCTCACGTCCACTTGGTAGTCCTCACGTCCACTTGGTAGCCCTCACGTCCACTTGGAAGCCTTAACGTCCACTTGGTAGCCCTCACGTCCACTTGGTAGCCCTCACGTCCACTTGGTAGCCCTCACGTCCACTTGGTAGCCCTCACGTCGACTTGGTAGCCCTCATGTCCACTTGGTAGCCCTCACGTCCACTTGGTAGCCCTCACGTCCACTTGGAAGCCCTCACGTCCACTTGGTAGCCCTCACGTCCACTTGGTAGCCCTCACGTCCACTTGGTAGCCCTCACGTCCACTTGGTAGCCCTCACGTCCACTTGGTAGCCCTCACGTCCACTTGGTAGCCCTCACGTCCACTTGGTAGTCCTCACGTCCACTTGGTAGCCCTCACGTCCACTTGGTAGTCCTCACGTTCACTTGGTAGTCCTCACGTCCACTTGGTAGCCCTCACGTCCACTTGGAAGCCTTAACGTCCACTTGGTAGCCCTCACGTCCACTTGGTAGCCCTCACGTCCACTTGGTAGCCCTCACGTCCACTTGGTAGCCCTCACGTCTACTTGGTAGCCCTCATGTCCACTTGGTAGCCCTCACGTCCACTTGGTAGCCCTCACGTCCACTTGGAAGCCCTCACGTCCACTTGGTAGCCCTCACGTCCACTTGGTAGTCCTCACGTCCACTTGGTAGCCTTCACGTCTACTTGGTAGCCCTCACGTCCACTTGGTAGCCCTCACGTCCACTTGGTAGCCCTCACGTCTACTTGGTAGTCCTCACGTCCACTTGGTAGCCCACTTGGTAGTCCTCACGTCCACTTGGTAGTCCTCACGTCCACTTGGTAATCCTCACGTCCACTTGGTAGTCCTCACATCCACTTGGTAGTCCTCACGTCCACTTGGTAGCCCTCACGTCCACTTGGTAGCCCTCACGTCCACTTGGAAGCCTTCACGTCCACTTGGTAGTCCTCACGTCCACTTGGTAGCCCTCACGTCCACTTGGACGAGGTCTAACCCCGAATGGCTCCATGTCCGAGCGTGCTCCTTTGCTTTGGCTGCCACTCGGTGACAAGTCTCGACCTCCAGGCCGTCATCCCTTCTGACGACGTGTGTCCTGACCCCGGCAATTAACTGCGAAAATTGTGATCATAACGGCAAGCGTCGCAGCAATCACAGAGACAGGCTTAGGAGCTGTAACTCCTGAGGCCGGGCACTCACCTTGCAGGAAAGAGGCAGTGAATGTCAGTGAGCTCCCCAAGTGTGATTACAATCAAGGAGCCGTGCTCAGAGAAGTGAGAGCTCCTCGCATGAGAGACCAAGGCGGTTGTGGAGGGGGGTGGGGCGGGGAGTGGAAGTACACTTCCTCTGCACGCACAGAGAAATGGGGAAGAGTGTGGGGGTAGGAGGCGGTGTAGGGGTAGAGAAGAGGGTGGGGGGGGGGGGGCTTGCTCCACCGTCGGGTGACAAGGGCACGGGGTCCGGTGGTGGGGAGGGGCGGGGGCAGATAAGGGAGAAGCACAGAGACACGGGGAGACACGGGGAGACAGAGAGGAGAGACAGAGAGATAGGAGGAGCGGAGACACCGAGACAGGTGGGACAGACGTCACCGTCCGGCGAAGGCCACGGGGAGAGATGGGGAGACACGTGGACAAACACTGGGACACGCGGGAGACACAGCAAGAGAAGGAGACAGTGACTGCTGCTGCGGTAACAGAGGCAGCAGCAAGAGTCGTACATATACGTGTGTTGAACTTCTTTCGCACCGTACATAGCCAACCGTGCTCATTAATCGGAGGTGCGGGGAAAGGACAGCAAACTAACACACAAAATAAATGTAACGTGGTATCGTGAGTCCGTCTTGTCGGGTGCATTTAGTAAGCCCTTAGCGGACCCTATAACTGTCAACACAAATATCCCCTACTCATGGGTTACTCATCAGATAAATAACCCCCGTGTATTTAAGCACGCCGGACTGCTGATGAGACCCATGAATGTCGACGTACGCCTCGAGTTCTGACTGCTCGACATGCTGCTGATGATGAATGATTTGTACTGATCTCCAAAGCCAATAGTCAGATGGACTCAATTATAAAA